GTAACTTCATGGGCAGATGATATGTGGGTTTTTAAAAATCAGAGTTGTCAAGTGGGTATAGATAAGCAAAAATTAAAACACAAAAACTTTTCATTTGAGCATTCTGAGACTTGAAAGCGGTCACTCTTTCCTCTGTCTCATATGCCCTCTCACTATTCTCTCTAGATAGTGATCAATGTATGGAGTGCCCCCAAAGTCAGTATCCCAACATGGAGAGGAATCGCTGTCTACCCAAATGTGTGACCTTCCTGGATTATCAAGATCCTCTGGGCATGGCTCTGGCCTGCACAGTTCTGTGCTTCTCTGTCATCACTGCCATGGTTTTGTGGGTCTTTTTGAAGTACTGAGACTCTGCCATAGTCAAGGCCAACAACCGGACCCTCAGCTACGTCCTCCTCCTCTCTCTCCTCCTCTGCTTCCTCTGCTCCTTACTCCTCATCGGGCATCCAAACACAGTCACCTGCATCCTCAGAAATATCTCTTATGGAGTCATATTCACTGTGGCTGTTTCCACTGTTTTGGCCAAAACCATCACTGTGATTCTCGCCTTCAAGGTCTTGAGACCTGGAGGAATTCTGAGGCATTTGCTGGTGTCTGGGGTTGTAAACTCGGTGGTTCCCCTGTGTTCCCTTATCCAATTGATTATTTGTGGCATCTGGCTGGGGACTTCTCCCCCTTTCATTGACATTGACACATCCTCTGAACCCAGGAGCATCATCATTGTGTGCAACAAGGGCTCTGTCACTGCCTTCTATTGTGTGCTGGGATACCTGGGATTTTTGGCCCTGGGAACATTTTCCTTGGCTTATCTGGCCAGAAACCTGCCTGACACATTCAATGAGGCCAAGTTTCTGACCTTCAGCATGCTGGTGTTCTGCAGTGTCTGGGTCACCTTCCTCCCTGTCTACCACAGCACCCAGGGGAAGGTCATGGTTGGTGTGGAGGTCTTCTCCATCTTAGCGTCCAGCGTGGGGCTTCTAGGCTGCATCTTTGCCCCAAAGTGCTATGTTATCTTCCTAAGGCCAGATGGAAGCACATCAAAAGGGTTAAAGAGTAAGACATATATGAGGGGACAATGATCAGAATCTCTTTTGTTTGTTATTCTCATATGTTTCATGAGAAAGAATTTGTAAGCCTGAAAAATAAACTACCACGTTTCCACAGCCAGATTGTAAGTAACTATTCCATCTCCTTAAATGTCTTGAATTAAAAAGAAATATTGTTGTTTGGTGCTTTTGTGTGATAAAAATGAGGCTTTCTTCTCTGATAGATGGTTACACTCACAGAAACCCACAGGGAAAAATCTACTCTGTCCTAAAAGGTCTCAATGGCTCAGAATTCACTGGATGGCAGTGAGGTAGTTGCTTTGGGATCAGTTCCTATTCATAGCAACCCTGTGTATGGCAGAAAAAATAAAACTAACTGGTCCTGGACCATCCTCAATTTTGTTGCTATTTTTGGGCTCATTTTGTAGCCACTGTTTTAGTACATCTCCTTAAGGATCTTCCCCCCTGCCCCCGCCCAACAGACCCCTTGTTTTCCCAAGCATGATGTCCTTTTCAAAAAGATGAGTCCCTCATGATAATAGGTCCAAAGTACACGAGATGAAGTCTTACCATCCTCACAGATCCTTTTGCATATGATAATTGAAATGTACATTTACTAATTCTGACAGTGCATGGCTATTGCTCACTGGGACAAGTGTGTTCCTGTGATGTTTTCTAAATTCGGACACAAGATTGTATTTTGGCTCTCATGAACTTACTTTACTTTTTTTCAGCTTCAAGGTAAGGGGCCACCTGAGCTACAGACCATTGCCTGCTAATAAGCAGGTTTCAGCTGAAGTGTTCTAGCATTCCCATTCTTCTCAAAGGTATCCAGAATTTGTTTTCACCTACACAGTCAAGTGCATTTTCATAGTCAATGAACACAAGTCAACATCTTCTGGTATTCTCTGCTGTCAGCCAAGATTCATCTGATGTCAGCGATAATAGTCCCTGTTCCACGTCCTCTTCTGAATCCAGTCTGAACCTCTGATGGCTCCCTGTTAATGTACTTCTACATCTGCTGTGGAATAAACTTCTGAAAAATTTTACTTGCATGGATTAACAATGATATTGTTCTATAATTTCTGCATTCTGTTCAGTTTCCTTTCTTTGGAATGAATATGAATATGAATCTCTTAGTCAGTTACCCAAGTAGCTGCCCTCCAAATTTCCTGACGTAGAGCAGTGAGTGCTTCCAGAGTTTCATAAACTTGTTGAAACTTTTCAGTTGCTATCCCATCACTTCCTGGAAACTTGTTTTTGGCTAATGCTTTCAGTATAGCTTGGACTTACTTCAGTACAATTGGTTCTTGCTCATATGCTTCCTCTTGAAATGGTTTAATGTCCACTAACTATTTTTGGTACAGTATTCTGTATTCTTTCCATCTTCTTTGGATACCCCCTGCATCATTCAATATTTTGTCCATATAAACTTTAAATATTGCAACTTGAGGTTTGAATTTTTTCTTGAGTTCTTTCAGTTTGAGATAGGCTGGGCGTGTTCTTCCTTTTTGGTTTTCTAACTCTGAGTCTTTGCACATATCATTATAATATTTTCCTTGTCTTTTCGAAATTTTCTGTTCAACTCTTTGATCTCATCATTTTTCATTTGCCTTAGCTAGGCTATGATGCTATGATTAAGAGTAAGTTTCAAAGTCTTTTATTAAAGTGTTTTTTTCCCCCAATCATTTTACTGGTGGCTCGTACAACACAATCCATATATACATCCATTGTGTCAAGCACATTTGTGCATTTGTTGGCCTCATCATTCTCATAACATTTACTTTCCACTTGAGCCCTTGGTATCAGCTCCTTATTTTCCCTCCTCCCTCCTTGTCCCCACCCCCACCCCAGCCCCGTGAACCCTTGATAATTTATAAATTATTATTTTTTGTCATGTCTTACACTGTTTGACATCTCCCTTCACCAACCTAAAGTCTTTTCTGACATCCACTTTCAACTTTACTTTCTTATTTTTGAAATGATTTTTTGCTTTCATGACTGATGTTCTTGATGTCCTACCTCAGCTCATCAGGTCTTTTGTCATTAGTGTTTAATGCATCAAATCTTTGCGTGTGCTTTTTTTCCAAATATGTTCTTGAGATGTTCTCAGCCAAGGTTCAAGTTCATATTGTGGCTCTCATGGACTTGTTTTCATTTTCTTCTTCAAGCTGAATTTACGTGTGAGCAATTGATAGTCTGTTCCACAGCCAGCCCCTGGTCTGGTTTCAGCTGCTGATATTGACTGCTTCTCTGTCTCTTCCCAAAGATGCAATCAATTTATCTCTGTGTGTTCCATCTGGAGAAGTCCACATGTATAGTCACCATTTGTTTTGCTGGAAAAGGGTAACTGTGAAGATGATGTCCTTGGTCTCACAAAATTCTATCAAGAGATCTCCAGGTTCCTTTGTATCATGAAGACCATTGTTTTCAACTCCTATTCCTCTTTGTTTTCAAGCTTTGCACAAAAATTTCCAATATTTGTCAATGCATCTTGATTGCATCCTTAATCATTTTCAGACTGAAGAATTGGTAGAATTCTGTAATTTTTGTATCACTAGCTTTTGTGGTTGGTGCATACATTTGAATAATCATTGTATTGATTGCATTTCCATGTATGCAGACAAATATCCTATCACCGACAGCATTTAAATGTCCTCTTTGTTGATGAATGCAGCACCACACTACATGAGTATGTCTTTCCTGGTACACTATACAATTTTCTGATTCATAATGGCCAATAGCAGTTCATTTCAGCTCATTAACACCTAGGGTATGAATCTCTTTTCATCTCATTTCTGACAGCTGTTGATTTTTCTAGATTTTATACTTTGTACATTCCAAGTGCTTTTTGTCCAAGAAAGCCATACCATTTATCTTGAATCTGACATTCCTAGCATAGTAAACCAAATTATTTTATGATTCAAAATAGGCAATACCAGTCCATTTTAGCTCACTTATGCCTAGTACATTGATTGTTATGCATTCTCTTTCATTTTTGATGCCTTCCAATTTTCTAGATTTGAGAGAGAGGACCTCTTGTTTCATTTATATTTTAGATCCCTGCAGCTGCTAAAAACTCCCCCATACCTTCCTCCCTGGAATGTACTCCAGATATCTGAGTTTAGAGTATTAGTGCTATAAATATTTACAGTTCCGCTGTTAAAATGAAGAAACTAGATAAGGCATCAGTCTTGAGAAAAGATAGACACACAAAAAATATAGTTTGCATTCTCAGATAGGAAGATCATAAACTTAATTTTATTTATTTATCCATTTTGCAAGCAGTTTTATTGGCATAAAATTCACATTTCATACAATTAATGGGTCAATCATATTAGGAATAGCTGTACAACCACCACCACAAGCAACCCCAGAACATTTTCTTCTTTCATGCACTCATTGTTGTTGTCTCCCCATCTCCCCGCCCCACCTCCCCTATCTGACCCCCAGGAAACCATTAATCCAGTTGCTATTTCTATAGAATTACCTCTCCTGGATTTCATATACAGAAAAACATATGAAAGAAAAACAAAAACACAGCTACAATAACAAAGTGAAAGTGAGAAAATCCTAAATTGAAAAGAAATCAGAAAGTGTTAAAACTAGGACAAACAATATGGGTCCAAAGGGAGATCAAATGATAAGGCATTAAATTGTAACCTCCCTGCATCTGCAATAATCCACTTTCCAATGCACTCTGAA